ATTATTATTATTATTATTATTATTATTATTATTATTATTATTATTATTATTATTATTATTATGGTAGAGTAAAATCCTTGTCTTGAACATGTGACCATGCATGCAGTTGACTCAGTTGAGAATCTTAAGTAGCTACAAGTTCTAGTTCTGCTGGAACATAATTTTTGCTGGGAGCATTCAGCATTTCAAATATTGTTCAGTTGAACAGTGTGTTGTCTGGGTACAAGCATCTTTGTTAACAATAATCAAAAATTCTAACATCCTTCATGACATATTAATTCTACATGTTTCACATAGTAATATCCACCTATTAATTATACTAATTAATTGTACAATATTAACATGGTAAGATTCAACACGTTAGTCACCATATCAACGTATCATTTTTAACACATCATCTTTATTTTGTTTCCCTATTTCTAACTTCCATTTCTATTGTTTAACCATTGGTAGAACAAATCCCATATCGCATCATTGGCCAGCACCTGTTGAGATGACCTTGGTTCCCACGGGGCAATCTCTTGTTTGGTCTGACATTGCGAACCTCTCCCTCTCGCCCCATACTGTGTGGCAAGCTGAGAAATGAAAAGATGGCTACAGCAGCATGGGTCTGTTTTTGAAAGTGGACACCCTTATAGGACAGAGTTCCCCAACGTTTCTGGCTTTATGGGCCAGCGGGTGGGAAGGGATGGTTCGTGCAAGCAGCCAGCAAGCACGCAGGTGCAGCTCCATTTCCATGAGCAGCACGCCTGTGTGTCTGCCACTCACATAAATGGAGCGCGGTCGCATTTTTCTCACACAAGTAAGGATGCATGCTCTCGCTGGCTGTTTCCATGGCCCACTTGCAAATCCCACACAGTCCACCAGTGTACTGCTGTAGGACATTGAAAAATATTGCACAGGGCTAGCTGAGGGTAACTTGCTCAAGAGATGGTTCCATTTAGTTATTTGTGTCATGTGTCCAAAGAGTTATCTTTTCATCTGGAGACCAGATTAGGGACAGCTGATCATGGAGAAAATCTATTTAACGCGGTCACTAAGAGTTGACAGCGATTTGAGGACTCATAATATTTTAATTTCGCTTTCAGGCTGATCATTCTGATAGATGTCAATACTGCGATATTTTCAAAATAAATCCAAGCCAGCATAAATACATTTCGGTAAAAAAAAAAAAAAAAAAAGTAACATTTCTTCTTCTTTCAGTTTACTGCAGTCTGAAAGCACAGATTCTGCCTTGTCCCAGGCGATCAGAATCAGCAGGAGTCACCAAGCAACAGTTGTCCCAAAGAAGTGCTTGAAGACTTCAACCCCACTGCCCTCTGCGGCGGTCAAATCTTCTCAGAATTGGGTGGTGAACAAAGAAACTTCCAGGAGCAACTCAGCAAGCCAGAACTGTAATAACGAATCAGAGACACCGAAGCCTGGGAAGGAATCGAGGTCTCAGAAGCATACACGGGTAAAGAATTCCTTTCTCCCAGCTGGATTTTTATGGGGACATCTTCACACCACCAAAAGGCCTTCTATGGCCTGCTGGCCACTCAAGAGGTTGATGTGCAACTTTCAACCTAGAGTTTTACTTCTCTAGAATAACATCATATGGTTTCAGTAACTTGTGCCTTTTGATGTGTTGAGATGAAGCCTGACATGCTGGCTCTGGAAATTAAAATAGACCTATTTTTTTTTCTTCCCAAGATGCTGAAGGACGTAGTGATGAGTACTCTTGAGAAGCATGGCGTTGCAAGAGACCACAAGTGCTTCACAACATGCAGTCAACGTTTATTTGAAATATCCAAGTGTTACTTAAAGGTACTCAAATGTTCTCTCTTTCCATGTGCAAAATACCAGATGATCAAGCTGTGGAATAATAGGTTTTTGTCGGTCTTCAAACTTGACAGCTTTAAGACTTGTGGATTTCAACTCCCACAATTCCTCCTCCAGTCATGTTAGCTCAGGAATTCTGGGAATTGAAGTCCACAAGTCTTCACCTGCCAAGTTTGAAGACCCTTGGTTTAAAGGGATAAAACATTTAGTCCTTGTTTTCCCCTAACTCAGGGGTGGGCATCTATGATCCTTTTATGAGTTGTGGACTTCAGTTCCCAGAATTCCTGAGCCAACCATGATTCAATTCTGGGAGTTGAAGTCCATAGCTTGGTAAAAGGGCCCTTGCCCTAACTGGTGATATGCAAATTCATATTAACCTCTTTCAGGAAATGAGAAATGCAATACACTGTAAATGCTGAAATCAGTGAGCAAATATAATTCTTTTTGGGGGGGCATGCCCCCATGTTATAGTTAATCATTTAGTAAAAAAACGCTGCTCCACCAAAGCACAGAGAAGTCATGAAGTTGTCTCTGAAAAAAGAGCACTCTGTACTCAGGGGTATACAGGAGAGTTAACATTAAATGACTTGTTGCAGCTGGTCCTCGGCTTACGATTGTAATTAAGCCAGGAATTATCGTATATTGTGCTCATTGTTAAACAGGTCACTGTGCGACTACCTGATTTTATGACCTTTTTTTTGTGGTCGCCATCAAGGAAAGCATGGTAGTTGTAAAGCAAATGTTGCGGTTGTTAAGCAGATCCATTGTCCACAATAGCCCTTTTTCTGTTGTTGCCAGAAACGGAGAATAAATTCCGGTTTCCATCAAAAAACGTAAATCATAGTCACTGCAGGATGCTGCAAACAGCTGTAAATGCAGGCTGGATGCCAAACACCCAAAACACAACAATGTGACAGGAGTGGGAGGGCAGCCTTTGAATCTGGGTTGTAAGTAGCTCTGGGAAAGTCCACTGTAACTTTGAAGAGTCGCTAAGCATTTGCACCAAGACAAATTCCTTGTGTGTGTCCAATCACACTTGGCCAATAAAGAATTCCTATTCTATTCTATTCTATTCTATTCTATTCTATTCTATTCTATTCTATTCTATTTATTCTACTCTACTCTACTCTACTCTACTCTACTCTACTCTACTCTACTCTACTCTACTCTACTCTACTCTATTCTATTCTAAGCTGGGGATTACCTGTCAACTTTGGCTGAACTGAAACTGAACCTTCATAGCACTATCCCTGGTACTGAATGCATTTCATGGCATGTGCCATAAATACATTCACAGAGTTCCATGAAAGGATTATTTTTACTTTCTCAGATTTTCTGTCTTTCTGGTTGCATTATTTTATCTGCTTTCTAGGAAGAAATACAGCATGTGGAGCAGGGTTGGCCATTCATTATAATTAAATAATACATTGGTGTTATTTATTCATTCAGAGCAGAGGTGGTGTTCAGCAGGTTCTGACCAGTTCTGGGGAACCGGTAGCAGAAATTTTGAGTAGTTCAGAGAACCGGCAAATTACCACCTCTGACTGGAGATTTTAAAGTATCCTTCCCCTGCCATGCCCACCAAGCCACACCCACAGAACCGGTAGTAAAAAAAATCGAATCCCACCACTGGTTCAGAGCTCTTTAATATACAAATACTGTAAGAACCCAATGAAGTTCTGACGATAACATTCAGTGACAAAAATATGCAAAAACTCAGAAAATTTTAAAGGGACTGACATGCTAGGTGATAGAACTCAGTAACTCCCATTTTATTTTACATATACATATAAAAGCGAAATACCACTCACGCACCCTCACAAAATCTCCAGAACCGTAAAGCCTACAAACTTGAAATTTGGCACATACAATATGTTTCTCTTGGCTTCTAGGTGCTCACTAAGAAAGGATTTTTCAAAATGACCATCAGAGCATTTAGTATTTCCTATATTATTATTAACACGCTCTGATGCTAAGGAGTTCTATTCCCCCTCCCCACCCGAAAAGAAATCTATTCCAAATGCAAAACATAAGCAGAGGAGTTTCAGTTTCAGTTTTACTTTCACAGCACTAAGCAGCTTTAATACAGAACAGTTGAGCTAAGCCACGCCCAGGCTCCTTTCTGTCTCCTTGCTCACAGCAAATACTGCTTCAGTTTCCAAACAGCCCTCAACTCTCTCACCCACTGACAGGGACACTAGCCAGATGAATACTGATGGATGCCGGTAGGCAGAGGCAGAATTTTCCCCCCCTTATTTTCCTCCCCCAAAACTAAGCCCAACCACATAGTTTCGTAGCGAAGCACGGGTATCGAGCTAGTATGCAATAGATGAGAATATTTGTAGCTTCGGGGAGTCCTTGGCCCTCTGTGAGGTTGATGGTTTTCTTGTTGACATTTCGTCACCCAACAAGATTACATTATCAGTGCAAAACCAAGCTCAGAGAGCACCCACGAGCCCCATAATATATATCCTGCTATCCTAGACATCTCTTCACCTCAGCCTAAACTTTGAAATTTCCAGGGGAAAAGTGAAAACTGAAGCAACGGTAGCATCTGCAAAAAAATTGTCTTGGTCGAAATAGGTAAACCTAGTGAGAAGTTTTCCTTAGGGTTGTGATCTTTTTTCTTTGCGCTGCTAATTTAAGTTTTATTCTGTATGAATTATGCAACACCGGCTTGAATCTCTTACTCCAGGCTACCTTGCCGGAAAACATTTTTAATTCTTTCAGCCTTTGCGGAGAGAATTCTATGATTCATAGCAGACCATTGCCATCTTGTGGTCAGCTGGGAACGCGGAATTTTCTTTTTCAACCAAGCTGCTGCTTTCCCATAATCTGAACAACTCCCATCCATTTACCTCCACCGCTAATGGAAACGCTTTTTTAAAATATTCCTCCCATTTAAGATCAAGTTTGCCTATCTCTTATAAAATGGATTGATGGGAAGGGCCGGAAAAAGAAGACCTGAATCTTCAAGCCGCAGTTATGAAGGAGGCCTTGATTCCTCCCTCGTAGGGCTTAGGAGGAAGACAATAGACGTGAGGCTTCCTCCTGTAGAGTTGGTAGCAGGAACTACCAAGCCACTTCCCCATATCGGGAAGAATGGAAGGGCTTCTGTTGGAGCATTTGTGAGATCATAGGCAGTCCTTGACTTATAACGGGTTCCTTAGCGACGGTTCAGTTATGACAGGCCTACTTTCAATCTACTATTGATCTCAGTTGAAAGTTCCAACAGTCAGAGCCCCTCCATAGTCACCTGATCAAAACTGGTGCTTGGCAACAGAGCTGCATTTATGGCCATTTGCAGCACCCTGTAGTCACATGATCCCATTTTACAAGCTTTGCTGGAAAAAAATGGCATTTCCTTCCAGTTTTCGGCAGAACCATGTCATACATAGCACGCTGGGGTTAGTTTAATGATTGCCACATTCCCTTCACAACTGCCACAGAAAACGAAAGTAAAATCAACTGTCGTGATTTACAACGTAATGGAGAAATTCCATTACGGTTGTATGTTGAGGACTACTTGTGCTTGGCTTCTGCCGGTGGGTCCAACCATTCCACAATCTGGTGATATGGCTCCTATCCTCTCGTTGCATATTTAAGTTAGGGAACTCCTCTGATTTTACACAAGAACGTTTGTTTTTATTTATTTATTTATTTTGTCAAGCGATTATAAGATAACAGGTATAAGTATAAACATAGTTGTGAATACATGAAATGGATACATATAAGAAAAATAAAAGAAACAATAGGACAGGAATGGTAGACATGTTGGTGCACTTATGCACGCCCCCTACAGACCTCTTAGGAAAGGGGTGAGGTCAATAGTAGACAGTCTTAAGGTTAAAGATTTTGGGGTTTGGGGAAGAAACCACAGAGTCAGGTAGTCTCAGCGTCCCTTCTGATATGACTTTATGGTTGGATGTAAACATTTGGGAATTGAATTTCATAACAATATAGGGCAGTGGTCTCCAATCTTTGCAGATCGGCAGAGGGGGGAGTGGGGGATGATTTCACACATGCCATTTCACAAATGCAGCTTCACCTGCACATACCCGCACCCCACTTCCACAGCCCAGTTTCGAACAGGCCGTGGCCCGGCACCAGACATGGACCTGGGGATGGGGACCCCTGATAAAGGGCACTAAATAGATTAGGACGCAAACCAAAATTGGTAAGAAAACTTAGTTGACAAGACTAAACTACGATGATAAATGGGTTTTCTTGTTTGTCTGCAGAATTTCTAAATTAAGACGCCTATATAGCTATTTGTACTGAACAGGTGGCAAAAGTAGTGTTGCTAAATAAGAACATTATTCTTCCTTGCCATCTTAAAAGGTTTTCAATAATAAACCAGCGTCTTTTGAAAGTAATGTATTTCATATTTAGGATTTGAAAACATCTCGAGGTCTGCTGGATGAAATGAAAAAAGCTGCTATCAGCAATGTTCAACAGGTAAAGTAATGGTTGTCTGGACCACATCCCTAGTAACTGCTCTTGAGAATTGGTTTCCCTCATTTATCAAAGTTTGGCTTTATGAATTTGGTTAGTGGATGTCGACTGCCCTACACTGGTTGAATCTGAAAGAGGGATGATTCATTCTTTTAATGATGATTTGTGGGATGTACCTTGAGTGTTGCTACACAGTCCTCGTTCATTGCCTAGAAGCAGCTTTGCTTATTTTTGGGGTTACCACCGGGCTGTCAAACCCATGGACTGCAGGCCAGATGCGTCACGCACTGGCCACGGCTACACCCGGTTTAGCGAAGGGGGAAAAATGATGTCACGCCACGAGTTTGATAGCCCTGGGTTACATGGTATTTTCCTTTAGAATGGCGTCCAATGTTTCAACATTTATGTTCTCGAACTCTAGGATGCAGTAAGTGTTTATTTTTCTATTTTTAATTACATTTTCTGTTGCTTATTTACAGGTCATTGATTGGGTTTTAGAAAAAAACAAGAAGTGACAAGTGCAGCACACTGAGAACATAACTTAAAAGTGTCTTGTTGGTAGATATGCCTGAAGTTTGGCAGTACCTGCCACGTGATGCTCTCAAATCTTTTGAGATAATTAAATTGATCTTGGAAGTTATTTGTGTTGTAAATTTTTTTTTACTGGAATAAAAAGAATTTCTTCAGCCATCTTTCCCATCTGCATGATTTGAAAGTTGCTTAGTTCTGTAAATGTAAATTCTCTATTATATTCAAATGTGCAGAATGTCTGCTTAAATTAGGTATTGCTTAGCAAGTCCTTTTTAAAACCAGGTATGTCAACCGTTTTTAAAGGTGGGGGGACACATGAAATTCTAGGAAAATACCACGACTGTCAGGAGAAACTACTTTGAGAGTGGTTGCAAGTCACAGCTCACTCACTTTACAAGACAGTAAACTATCTGGATTAAAAGGTAAGCAACTTTACCAAGATCTTAGAAAAAAAGAATAACTCAAAACACGAAGCATTTAAATTCCGTTTTTTCCCTGTATTGTTCTCTCATTCCATCCTTCAAGTATAATTCTGACTAGTATTCTGTTCAACTACATCAGGATGTTTTGCCATCCTTGAATTTATAGATTCAATATAGATTTATATATTTGTGTGAAATGCCAGGAGGTTGATACTCCTTTCAATGAACCAAACTATTGAACAGTAGTAGTTCAGTAAGAGAACTTACCTGGAAGAATTAATCCCATCCTGTGAAATCAGTACTTCACTGTTTTATACAAATTTTAGTAGGCTGAAACCATTGAACAAAAAATCAGTGACTTTCTTCTTGTTAAATAAATTATCACTTCACAAAAAAATCCAATAAATGACACTTTATTAAATATAGTCGGTTTTTTCTCCTTCTTGAAAATATAAATATTGTAGATTAAATTCTTATAAATCTGGGGTAGTTCCATTTTATTCATTCTATCAACCCCATCTAAAGTAATGGCGTCTAGAGTCATTCAAAATCTGTATTTGACTATAAATATATATATTTCTTTTTGCAAATTAGTTATTCACTTCTTCATGTTGTGATTTGAGCACCGTACAATACGTGATATAACTAATGCATTAATCCTGATTATATACAAAGCAGATATAGTTATAATATTCCAGTGAAGGGGTGTTAGTTATTGAAAGTAGCAGTACAATAGAATTTACATATGCATGAACCCTAAAATACATAATAATCTACTTTATGCTCTGGATTTTGCTCATTCACAATAATAAATACTGCCATCGAAGGAACTTGAAAATACTGCTACATTGGAAAGGGTTATTTGAGATTCCTTTCCCCCCCCCACAAAATGCCATTTAAATCAAAAAATTTGTAAGTCATCCTTTCATGGACAGACGCAAACCAATGGAAATTCCATATCTGCAAAAATATATTTATTTTAAAGTAGAGAGTGTGTATATATATATATATATATATATATATATATATATATATATATTTATTTAAAACTTCAAATGAAATAAAAATGGAAGCTTAGGCACAAACTGGGCACATGGTGATAATGTAGGCTCAAAATCAAGCAGCTTTTTATTAAGTTAATTTTATATTACTAACAAAATACTAGCTATGATAGATATTCCATGGCAATTGGTTATTTTATAGAACTACCCAAAGACTTCTGTATGTGTAAAATCTTAGTCATGGTTAACAGCTCAATCTTGGGGTTTTTTATTCCCAACCTCCTTTCAAATTCCCTAAGACTACCTTAATCGCATTTAAGAATTAACAGGCCTTTATGAATCCTATTTATTATCCCAATCAAATTACCTTGAAACCTAGATTAATTACTTCAGGGGCGATTTAATGCTGCAGAGAATTTTCTTCAAATGTAGCTGAAAGCAAACATAACTTATGCATTTACACTTAGCTTCCAGTTTTTGCTATCATAATGATTTATTTATTTGTAATCGGTAGCATAGAAATAGCACGGTTGAGAATTCAGGGGCATTTCCCCATCTGACCACCTATATCTAAGCAACCCTAAAAAAAACACTTATTTACTATGGCCCATAAATAAACAAAAAAAAACCCCACAACTGAGTTCATTTGTCTCTGGGCATCCATATAACAAACAAGTTTTTTTTAAGTTGGCCTTTTGACGTCTGTTAAGTTTAATATTGATGTATCTGACAGTCATTTAGCCCGTTATTAAGAAGCAAAGCAGGATTGGATGTGGCTTGTACCTGGGTGGAAGAAAGGTCTATAGCTGGAGATCAGACTGGTGAAAGCATTTGAGAAGACGACAGTTCAGGTAGTCCTTGACTTATGACTGCAATGGAGCCTGCCCATCCTAAGTGTACTATAAGTCATGATGATGGTAACATGAGTCACCCACATGACCAGCTTGATTTTATAAGTTTTGCGGCCGTTGTTTAGCAACTGCAGCTGTCGTGAAGTGAATGTTTTGCTGTGGACCAGTTTTCATCAAAAGCATTGTAAAACAATGGCCATGTGACCATGGGATGCTGCAAATGGACTTAATTATGGCTTGATTGCTGAGTGCCTGAAGTGAAAGTCACATGACTGCCGGGGAGGCCATTAGAACTCCAGAACAGGGCCATGTGTACCCCTGGTCGTAAGCCAAGAAGAGGCCATGGATGTATCTATGAAGCTGAGTGCAACGTTAAGGAGACTTTATTTTGTAAAAGGTAAAGGTTCCCCTTGCACATACGTGCAAGTCGTTTCCGGCTCTAGGGAGCGGTGTTCATCTCCGTTACAAAGCTGAAGAGCCAGTGCTACAAAGACGTCTCCGTGGTCATGTGGCCGGCATGACTAAACACTGAAGGCACACTGAGTGCTGTTACCTTCCCAACCAAAAAAGGGGTCCCTATTTTTCTCCTTGCATTTTTACATGCTTTCGAACGGCTAGGTTGGCAGAAAAGTGTATGTGTTAAAATAACACTTCAATAGCAGTTCGGTCTGCTGCTGCTGTGATGGGATTGCCCTTGTTCTCCAGAACGAGATGGAAAGAAAAGATCCCTTGATGTGTCTTGGGTTTTAATCCAGTGAACGCCAGTCACCAGGATGAAGCGCTGCCGCTAAGATTTCAGCCCTATGGCAAGTTTCAGAGCTCCCAAGCTACAGACCACAACATTCAGATGCCCGAGAAATGCCACGACACAAAATTTAAGATCTCAACTTGTTAAAGACTTGAGCAGCTTTGGGATTCTTCTAGTTAAACGTTGTTTAAGGGAACCCAAAGGTGCTTTTTCAAAAACTCTCTGTTTTTTTTTTCTTTGAAGACATTTTGCTTCTCACCCAAGAAGCTGCTTGAAGCTCAGACAACCACGGCCTGGATGACTGAGAATCTCTCATGGACATTGTTAAGGACTGTTGATCAAAATCATGAAAAATGACCATACTGTATCTCCTTTCCTTGGTAGAATATGCCCGAGTATGGGTGGTAGGGAAGAGCCTGGATCACACAGCTTATTTCTCTCCTCCCTGATGTAAAGCCACGAGAAAAATGAGAAGACCCTGGAAGGTGCAGAAAAAAAGTTCTTTTCCCTGCTTAGGTGAGGTCTCCAGAACATTGATGGAAAAGATACCCCATAATATTGCTCCGACTTTTTGCAATCAGAGTGCCTAATAAAGGACAGCACCCTCAACCAACTTTAACCAATGGAACAGCTTGCCTTCAGAAGTTGTGGGAGCTTCATCCCTGGAAGCCTTCAAGACCCTTCCAACTCTGTTAATCTGTATCTTAAACCTATTTTTCATAGCCATTTCCTGCTTCCCCTCCGCACTAGGTGTTTTGTATGGATCTTCTAGCTGAGGTTTGATGTTTCTCTGCTTTGTTTTTTCAACACGGCCGATTGCTGTGGCGTCTGTCCTAAATGACTCAGGCTTCATGGGCAGTGCTTCTGTATCCTTTCTATCCATACTTCTTTAGCATCCTCCTTTGTCTCCCGGTGGTTGCTTCCGCCTTCTTCCTTATCCCAAAAGCTTCTCCTTTGCTTTAGAAGGGCCTACAGCCAAATGTTGCAAAGGGATTTGTGGACAGCGCAATAGAATTACAAAGCCACAAAATGCACGAGCCAAAATTCCACTGACTGCATCACATACAAATGACAGTTTGGCTACCTTGGATTAATTTGAAATACATTTCCTCTTTTCAAGATGCTTTTAAGATGTTTATCGTTCCCGTCGCTTTTACTGTACTTCCACTGTTAAATGTTTTAAAATGCATTATGTACGCCAGATTTCACTTCCCTTCACATGTTGTAATTGTTAACGGAACAATTGCAATCTTAGAAAACTTACGTTATTTGGATTTTATCAGTTGAATGGGCTTTGCTTTTTTTCAGCAAATTCTCCAATGTGTCCTGTGTCTATGGTCTATTTTATCTGGAGATATTTTTGAATTCTTGCTCCAAGAGTTCCTTTCTATGGCTGGTTTGATCAGTCAGAAAACTCAGTTTGCCTACAGCAGGGTTTCCCAAACTTGACATCTTTAAGACATGTGGACTTCAACTCCCAGAATTCCCCAGCCCCAGGGAATTCTGGGAGTTGAAACCCATGTGTCTAAAAGTTGCCACGGCCAGGAAACCCCGACCTACAGCAACTTGAGCTCTGCCAATGTGACTTATACAAACTGATGTGCTTCTTAATGGGGAAAAAAGAGCACATCCATCTCATCTCTCAACAACCAAATCACTAACTTGCACATAGATATTTCCTTTGTACTTTTTGAAAACTGAAATATGGTTTGGTGAGGGAAAAAAAATCTAAAGCACACAGGGTTCATTTTAAAAATCCTTATTTTGACGGCAACTATCAACTTAGCTTTTACTTTTCAGTGGCTTTCAAATTTCCTCCTCTCTAAGATTTCTATCCACAACTGTTTCTCTGCAGTTTGCAAAGTTTTTAGAATATGTTACCAGTTTATGAAAACAGCCCAATCTACTAGAAGTAAATAGAGAGTATATTTTAAAGGTGGGGGGAAGATGATGAAGGGGAGAAGGGGAAAACTTTGCGTTCACAGAAGCTACTCTACCATCATCAATCTTTTCATTGAAAAATTGCTGAATCTTCTAGGGAAGCCCTGACATTCTCAAAACCCAAGATGGAGTGTGCTGTTCTTAAAACGTACCATAGAGGCACACCTAGGAATACGAAATGTCGTCATACAGCATTCATCTCTTCTTAATTACTCAATTTTGGCTTTATTCAGAGCAATCAATGTCATTTCACTTGCAACATATGTTTTAGTTGAAGCAAATATTCCGACTTTTATTCTTCAGAGCCCTATCATTGTCTTTGATCAAAACATTGATTTTGCCCCATATCTGAACTTCATCTGCAGAAGAGTTCAGGTGTTCTCCTAGTAGCTCCCAGTGTTGACAACATGTTGGAGAGTTGGACTCGAGTAGTTCCATTTTTTTCTTTTTCTTTTTGTTCTTGCCAATGACAGACAGAATTTATGCTACCAATCCAAGTCTTGTAATCTTGGCAAAAAGGAATGAATGAATGATGAATACGATCGGCTTTGGACAGGAATGAAGGTCCAGTTGCTGAAATCAGAGCACAAAGAGACAAGGAGTTATTGTGTGTGGTTAATTCTGGACCATCATCAAAACCATAAAAAAAGCAAAAGTTAGAATATTTTGGACATGTGATGCAACACCCAGAAAAATATGGCATCCTCCAAGGAAAGACTGAAGGCAAATGAGAGGTCCAGGCAGAAGAACATCATAGCTTCAAAATCTAAGGGACTGGTTTGGACAAAACTCAACAGCACTTTTTTGTATGGCTGTTGATAAAAATAGGATTGCCAACATGATTGCCAATGTCAGATGATGGATATGGCACAAGAAGAGGAATTCTGGACTGGATTCCAGAATTTGTTGCCCAAGCCACCAAATATTTTAACTGAAATGTAGCATTATTTCTCAGCATTGTGACTGAAGTTTTGGCAAATGCAGTGATACCTCGGTACTCAACTGCTTCAAAACTCGTCGAATTTGGTTCTCGGCGCATTTTGACGTGAAAATGTCATCCCAGTACTTGGCCTTTGTTTAATACTTGACATCCTGTTATAGGAAGAGGGGGATAGCTGTGGGGAACAGACAGGAAGTTGGCCATGCTGGGAAGGTTGCTGCAAAAGGAGCGAATAGTCAACAGATGGCGGACAGGAAATTGGCTATGCTCGGAAGGTCGATGAGATAGGAAAAGGGACAGACAGAAAGTTCTTCCCAGCGAAAACAAAGGCTCACATGATAAGTCACATGGTTTGTTTGGGACTCGTCCGTTTTAGTAGCTATCGCACTTCCCAGAACAAATTAAAGCCAAGTCCCGAGGTACCACTGCCCCAGCATTTTGAGGCCACAATAGATTGTTTAATGGAATCATTCAGGCATATTACATCAGGAATGATTTAAAACAGTGATCCCCAACCTTTTTGACGCCGCGGCCCGGTACCGGCATCAGCTGGGCGCCACCATCTTTTTTTGATGAAAAAGTGCTTCCGGTGACCTCACCGGAAGCACGTTTTCATAAAAAAAAGATGGCGGCACCAGCGCTTCCAGTGAGCTTTTCCGGGTAGAAATGACTTTCTACCCGGAAAAGCTCACCGGAAGCGCTGGCGCCGCCATCT